CTGTCTACTCATGTTTATCACTGTTATCATTTGTTTGCCACTGTCTACTCATGTTTATCACTATTTATCATTGTTTGCCACTGTCTACTCATGTTTATCACTGTTTATCATTGTTTGCCACTGTCTACTCATGTTTATCACTGTTTAGGATGATACAAGAGTTCTGTTCCCACACTGATGTTTACTAAATTAACAGTAAACTCTGGAGTTTGGCTAAATCATTGGTCTTAAAATCAAGCCTTATCTCTCTTCTTCATTACTAATGCATTATATACCTAGTCCTAGCATTGATATGTCATATAGCAGGAAGAGAGTGAGTGAGAAGTGGGAAGGAGAGAAAGGGATCCAGAGATCAGAGGAAGAGAGAGGGTGAGCCATAAAGTGCTGTCTGATTCTGATAACAGCTAGATTGCCATCAGTATGTGAACTAAGTACTTGTTAATGAGCTCTGACAGTAACATAGCTATAGTGATAGAAAGGGGAGGAAATGTGGTATACTTGTTTGCCATTATATGTACACAGTTCCCAGTAAAGAGGGAGTGGGTAGTTTGTATAATGTCATCTCATATTTACTATACCCTCTCTCTCTCTCTCTTTAAGGGCTACAGTTATTTCAATAGACATATTTGTTATTTCTCATCTGTTACAAGTAGCCTACAGATGTGGCAAAGCTGTTGCTGTTTATCATAAGAAATAAGCATTAACATCACATAAATGTCTATAACTAGTAAAAAATTTGTCTATAAAAGGTACAACAATTAATTATTATATGAAACTCAGCCTAGTTTAGATTAATTATAGTTTCTTTCAATGGTTCATGCATCCTCATCCATCAATCCAAGCACTGTAGGACAAACCTGGCACATGAGACAGCTGCAAACGGTTGCCACATTTTGTCTTTTTCTTTTGTTCCCCAGTCAACGATAGCTTTTATTACGATCCATTCAAATTTTACTCTCTCAGCAGCCTTATAAATACCCTTTGCTTCCATTTCTCCTCCAAGTGCAGTTTGGACATATTTCAACTTCTCTTCCTTTGCTTCTTTGCTACGAAACAGTGTGAATTCGGAGGCCAGAGAACCTTGATGATGAACTTTAACTGTTTTTGTTTTAATTGTAAAGACTTCGTCATGTCTGAACAAATTAAAGAGATTCTTTCCACAGTGGTATGTGTCAGGTAAAACGATTGTATTTTCTCCTTCAATACGCTGACGCTCAGTGTCAATGATACTTTTGGCAACGATAATGTCACCTAAATTTGTTTTATCATCAAGTTCCTCAGTTTTGCTCTCCTTTGCTCCATAGCATATCCCAATAGCAATGACAAACTCGGCATTCACATCATTTTGTACTGAAACAAGAATATCTTCAGTATCCTTTGGGCCCTGGCCTGTCCTAGTTATTGCAACATTGCATGACTCATACTTCCCCAGGATAAAATTTGCTGATTTATCTGTTGTAATAACTCTAATATATTTACCATCACTTCCAGGAGGATCGATTGAACCCATCACAGCACGGTATTCTATAGGTGTGGCAGTCACCAGAATGTAACGGACTTTTGATATAAAGTCTTTCTCTTCTTCGGTCAGATCTTCGAATTTCTTTTTTGCAATTTTTATCTCAATTTCCTCCAGTTTTGGGCAATATTCACTGACATCAGGAGGTGGATCAGACTCTATTGTACATGTTAATTAGAAATTATCAAAATTATTCTATCATACTTTGATCATCACTTTTTGTCTTGTCCTCACCAGCTACTGCACTATCAAGTGGTTTTCTAGATAAATACAACAGATTCATTAATTGGAGTCAGTAAAGGATATTATTTTACTTGGGATCAATCTTTTTACTTGCTTGTTTTGTCCCAGTCCCAAAGCTGTCGGCCAATCCTGCTTTTAAAAATCATTAATTATTAATATTCAATAATATGATTGATTGTTACCTATATGTTCCAGAAGATTAGCCTTTGTTCTGCCCAATTTATCAGGATAGTCATCACAGAGCTTTATTAATTCATCCCAAGTGCGATTTTTATTAGCTTCAAACCACCTCTGGAATACAATATTAAGATAGGTACTTGCTTGTCCTGGCATTGGCATCAGATCAGACACCTTTACACTCAATCCAATCCCTATTAGCATGTAATGGTTAGCAGAAGAATCAAATATTTGTTGGACTGCTGCCTGAGTACACTCTTTGTCTATAGCAATAAGGAAGGATGTAATGTTGTTAAGGCCCTTATACACCAGGCAATGCTATTGCAGGCAATCTGTGGTTACTTTGATCTTCAGACAACACTGTTGCCTAGAATAGAAACATGTTCTATTCTAGGCAACGCATTGCTTACAACATCAAAGTAACCACAGATTGCCTGCAATAGAATTGCCTGGTGTATAGTGGCCTTTAGAGGTAAACTGTCAGTATTATTTGATCTTAAAGTCTATACAGCTGCAATAATGCTCACATCAGTTCTTGTCAATTAAGTTCACACTATCTGACTTATGTAGCAAATTGTGTATTACTGCCATTGGATTTGTGTTTGTTGTATGTTGCCATTGGTTTATATTGATCACAATGCATCACATCAGTTTACCAAATGTGTGTTATGCATATTACATGTATTGATAGGCAGTGACTTGAAACCACTCCAGTGTGAACACAATCAGGCCGGCTCTGGGATATAATATGCAGCTACTTTTAAAGGACCTTAACTTGTGAATGGATCAAACACTCAAGTTATACATGGGGAGCTATAACTAGAACGAAACCAACAGCTTTTCAGTACTGGCAACAACAAGAACTAGCTAGACTATCCTTGCTACTGTCCAAAAAAGGAACTAGAAGTATTTGCAATTCTTGCACTTAAATATATATAATAGAACTAAACTAGAACTAAAATTGAAAAAGCCATACTGGCCCAACAGTATTGATTTGCAATGTCTGTTTAGCTGCACCAGTAAATATATATACAAGTACAAAGTTTCAATTGTTGTTTACCTGCCATCGAGATGTGTCTTAATAAAGAGAGAGAGTGAAAGAGGAGGAGGAGTAAAGCAATAAAAACAGAGCTGGTTTAGGTTTAGATTCTTCTTTCCTGACAGCTGCCTGTCAGTGTCAGACTGTCAGTGCCTGACTAAAGCTGACTCACTCACTCACACTTCCTGTCAAAAGAGGAGGAGGTCAAGTGTGTGGGTGTTCAGTATGTTAATAACAAAATTAATTATAACTAGAACAATGTAAAACATTAAAGGGGCGAGCCTAAGCAAGCAAAGCAACGTACATACAATAGATATTGACAGACTAACATGCAATACTCAAGCATGATTGTGCAACCATAGATTGGTGCAACTAAGCAAGAGCTCATGGATGTATATAGTTCTTGATGATCTACCTTTGTATTCTCTGCAGCAATTAAAGCTACCTTGCTAATAGCATTTAGCAAGCATTGAAGTTAGCTATAAGTAGTCATTGTACAAATGATAAAGCTAGATAGGCAACTGTAGCAATCAAAGCAATGTAGTTTTTGGCTTCTTGCATATGCTCCAAGTTAGTTCAATTTCAGGCTCAGGCTGTGACTGACATTCACTTTATCAGAGTTATTTACATAAATGAAGAACATGGTATGTCTGCTTTCTTAACCTTCCTTGCTGCATTTGGACAGCAGTACAGTCTAATCAGTCTTGCAAGAGTTTCCAGTTTTGATACTGAGTCGCCATTTTATTTCACTGTAACCACACCCATTTTCATTGTCATTTAGAGCAATGGTTTAAATGGAGTTAATCAGCAGGGGCCACCCTCGCTTGGGTGACCGCCCACACGCCCACTGCATGGCGTGGGCAGTATGAAAATGTAGCAACCCACTTGTACGCCCACGCAGTTCAGTTGTGTGCATGCGTGGGTGACCAGCATCATCCAGCATTCACTTAGGATCTCAAGCATGGAAGAAGCACCTCCGATTGTTCTTCCGCCACCCACCCAACATCTAGTAGGTTTAGGTTTTCCACTGGGTCCCTTCTCAGTGTGATAGTATAGGCACCACGGAAGCTCTGCCCCCTAGATAATAATCTGTGGGTCATCCCCTCCGATGGTTGGCCCCACCCCAAATGTGGGTGGGACCACCTTGAGGGTTTCCGGATTCCCCCTCGAGGCACACCTCGTGCAACCACATTGAGGGGGCAGGAGGCCAGGGGGTTTAGTCCGCCCACAGAATGTCATTGCGTGGGCGGAGACCCCCCCCCGGCATGGTGGACCGGAACGCATGAAAAGGCCCGGTTATTCTGGGGGGCGGGGCTGAAGTGGGGCCCATACATTGGCCACACTTCCTCAGGGCAGTGTGGCCACCGTCTCATTGTTTAGGCAATCGGTGCAGAGGACGGTGGACTACGGTAGGCAGGTGGACCCGAGGTAAGATTAAATGAAGATTATCAAGTTTATTAAAAAGTGGAAATTTTTTCATATGGATAATAGGGGTGACGTACGTGTACAGACAGACAGAGTTACATACTCATGTAGTTTATGTGGGGCGAGCTCAGGCTCGCCCCAATTAAAATTACACATTCTTCTTTGGCCAATTGTTTCAAAAATGGCAAGGAGAGAATTCTCCTCTTTTATAATTTTTTTCTGATGTGTATACATGTTCTTACATTGCATAGAAAATTTGAGCTGATTTGGATCAAATTTGAATTTTTTACAATTTTTAAAAGTTGCTCAAAAATTAGGCCAAATTCCCTATACAGTTTCATGGGCCAATTTTTGCTAAAATTCAGAAAGGAGAGAATTCTTTGTTTTAATACTTTTTCTGATACATAGGTCTATATGTCTACATGTTCTTATGT